ACACACACACACACGCTCGCACACGGGCATACACACACACACACACGCGCACACAGGCATACACACACACACACACACACAGAGACACAGAGACACACACACGGAGACACACACACACACAGGTGCACAGTTCATGATCAGCACACACTCCTGTTACACACCACATATAAAATACACGTTTTTCATACTAACGCTTATTAAACCTCTTTCTGTCTGTACACTCTCTCCCTCTCTGTCTCTATGTCTCTCTCTCTCTCCCTCTGTCTCTCTCTGTACTCTCTCTCCCTCTGTCTCTCTCTGTACTCTCTCTCCCTCTCTGTCTCTATGTCTCTCTCTCTCTCCCTCTGTCTCTCTCTGTAATCTCTCTCCCTCTCCTTCTCTGTCTCTCTCTCTCCCTCTCTCTCTCACTGTGTGCCTCTCTCTCTCCCTCTCTGTCTATCTCTCTCTCTCCCTCTCTCTCACTGTATCTCTCTCTCCCTCTCTCTCACTGTATCTCTCTCTCCCTGTACTCTCTCTCCCTCTCTGTCTCTATGTCTCTCTCTCTCTCTCTCTTACAGCAGTTCCTCTCGTCCTCCAGTTGGCTGCAGTCGGGGAATCCGTCACAGATCCTGGAGTGCTGTATGCAGCTTTTATCTGTAGGGCATTCCCACAGACCTCGCTCCTTACAGCCTGGACACACACACACACACGGAGAGAGAGAGAGAGAGAGAGAGAGAGAGAGGGAGAGAGAGAGAGAGAGGGAGAGAGAGAGAGAGAGAGAGAGAGGGAGAGAGAGAGAGAGAGGGAGAGAGAGGGAGAGAGAGAGGTTGTTTCAGCACCTTTTAGTACAAAAGTGTCCCGACTCTGACTCAAACTAACCCACAGTGTAAACATGTAAACTACTACATTATCAATACTTACACATATATAATACATACGGGACACATTATTATTACATATAGATACCTGCAAATATTCGCCGTGTCACTCAGCCATATACGTGATGTATGATTTCTGAAAACTACAGGAGAAAGCCCTGATGTTCTGTGTTGTAGTGTACGTTCGTGTAACAGGACTGACTTTGGAGCATTTCTAGTTGATCAGGAACGGCTCACACGGTGTGAAGAGCAGCTGATGTGTTCAGATGGGTTTGATATGACAGAATCACATTAACACAGTAATACATAACACACGTTATTTATTACCTCGCCGACAGACGACGGCTTACACACCGGCGCCGTGCAACAAAGCCGTACACCTCGACACAGAGTGTCATTTTTATTTATTTACTTTTTACAGGCATTTAAAATGCTAGTTGGTCTTTTGTGACGAGTGGAGCAACAAAAATGTAAAACGTAATAAAAAACTTGTAAATAATCCTGTTAGACTGACCTCCATTCAAAACCACGCTTTTCCTTCTGCTGTGAAGCTGAGTTTTTGAGGATGAGAGGTTTTTACCAGGACACTGACGATGTGTTTATATTATTAACAATCACTTACAGCATAACCTGCAGTGTGTGTGTGTGTGTGTGTGTGTGTGTGTGTGTGGGTGTGTTTGTGTGTGTGTGTGTGTGTGTGGGTGTGTGTGTGTGTGTGTGTGGGTGTGTGTGTGTGTGTGTGGGTGTGTGGGTGTGTGTGTGGGTGTGTGTGGGTGTGTGTGTGTGTTAACTCACCGCAGTTGTCCTCATCGCTGTCATCATCACAGTCCATGTGTCCATCACAGCGTTTAGAGGACAGGACACAGCGCCCTGACCGGCACTTAAAGTGACTGGGAGAACACTCTGTTACCATGGAGACAACAACAATCAGACACACACACACACACACACACAGTTTCAGTGAGCTCAAATGAGAATAACACACACACACACACACTGACCGTCTACGTCTGGGTCAGGGAGCAGACAGGAAGTGTTCGCTTGTCCTTCCTCTGGAAACTGAGCGCAGTCCGTATCCTCCGGCCACTGCAATCCCACAATGCTCAGCACCGACTCACAGCGCTCCTTAGAGCTCCTACAGAGAGACCTACACACACACAGAGGCTTGTTTTCGTACAGTGTCAGGACGTGCGGTCACACACACGCCCCCTGTGTGTTTCGGACAGTGCTGGGTAAAATGATGGTGACGGCTGAACAGACTGTCCTGAACGTGTTCAGTAAAGCTTTACAGCACAAAAACAGAGACGCGTCAGAAAACACACAGAGGACACGTCGACAGGACCCTGCTGTCCTCATTTACTCCACGCTGTTCCTCACTGTTACTGACTGGCAGCTTTGTCCATGTGAATCTTCTGAAATTATGTTTCATGAAAAAATAAATTCAAATGAATACAAAATTAATAAACAACTCTCAACATCACTTTGGCGCTAATAGTCTCCTTCGGTCCACTGCTGCCCCCATAATCCCGCTGCTGCTCCCATAAACCCACTGCTGCCCCCATAAACCCACTGCTGCCCCCATAATCCCACTGATGCTTCCATAATCCCACTGCTGCTCCCATAATCCCACTGCTGCTTCCATA